GAATAGTATGAAAAATTATTTCTGAGTTTATTCTCAGTGTCCATGCAATCTTCTAACCTTTAATTACATCTACACAATTTATGAATAATTCTGTTTTACCTCAGGTTTTAGTCAACGTGGTTGGTGCTCTTGGGGAACTGGCAAAGGCACCAACAAATCGAGCTGCTATTCGAAAGGCAAATGGTATGGCGCCACTAGTTGCCCTGTTGACCGGTACTAATCAAGAGCTCTTGATAAATACTACACGAGCCATTGGAAAGTGTGCTGAAGAGTCAGAAAATATGGCGTGAGAGAAAGATAATTAGGATATATTTCGTTTTTTATTATTAGAAATCGTTGGACATATATTTAGTTTACAGTATTTAAGAACTGTATTATCTAGGACTAGTTTGAGCTTGCATCAAAAGTCAACTAATTTTACCTAATCGTGAATATATAATGGTGTACTTTGGCCTCATATAAATTTTGCACCTTAAATGAAATATAGCTAAATCATAAAATTGGTGTTAGCTCAATATTTGCCCTTCATTTCGAATTTCAAACTACCGAAAGGTCTTAGATATGAAGATAGAGATGGTGTGGCTTTCTGTTTGGTCGTGGTCTCCTTTAGCACCATAGTGTTGGTTCGACATCGTTTTCGCAACATCGTCGGAATGTTAGGGAGACTCTATGAAACGTACCTAGTCCTATGTCCTCTGCCATAGCATTCGTGTATTCCAGAATCGGACCATTGACTTGGTACATTCATAAGCATTTCATCGTCATCGTAGTCGGTATCGTCAGTCAGAGTCGCCTTTCACTCCTCTGAACCTCCGACCAAGTTGTTAAAACGAGGTCGAACAAACACTACCAAAAAGTTTGCCCGTTATTAAAAAGTCAAATTTGCCAAAAACTGTTAATATTAAAAAATGTAGTTATTAGCTGATTTGACAAGACAGCATTCTAACGCGTTTAATGGATCAGATTCAAAATATCATTTAGCCCATAAAGGTCAAAAGTTTGTGTTTGCTGTATGAAAGTTTGTTTTTTCTTGCTTTCTCCCACGCTACAACAGAGGGGGAACTCAAGAGAAACCAGATGCGCCATATTACAAGGTATATTTACTAATTTAATAGAGATACTTGAGCAAAATACAAATGAGAGCTAGTATTTTGAGTGCGTTTAATAGAAATGATTATTTGGAACCAATCATTCCAATTTTTGAGTAGGTTCTGGTAAGGATACTCAGGTTGTAATACACCTTCGCTTAGAAACAATAAACCAAAGATTTTTTCCTCATCAGATAATATGCAACTCTTTTTTAAACGACTCACTTCTCATGAATTACTTCTTAACTAGAAGTGAGATGACCTCATTTTTGCATGTTAGTCTTGCTGACAGGGCAACTTAGTTGGGCGTACCTTGTCCATACTCCTCTGTTACTAAAATTCCCAACATCGGACCATGGACTTGGTACATTCCCAGGAGCTTTGCCGACATCGTATTTGGCATCATCAGTGAATCTTGCCCTTCTCAGCACCAAGTTACAACTCGTCAAATAGACCAGAGACAACTGGCATTATGGCTCAATTGATTAGAATTTCATTCGAGGGGCAGCAGGCGAACAGCGATAGTTGTTTAAAGTTTTCTCGCAGTACAGGGGTTGAATCAGGGAGATAAGCCGTGAAGACAGTGCTTAATATATAAAAA